CCCCCCCCCCCCCCCCCCCCTTCTCCACCCACCCACCCACCCACCGATCTTCTCGGTTCTTTCGTGATCGCGGACCCGCTGCCGTCACCTCCTCCCGCTTCCGCTCGCGTTCACTTGCGTTGCGTGCTCTGCTCTGCGTTCGCGACGCCTGGTAAGTTGAGTGATTGTCGTACGACCGGACGACGCCGAGTGCTCCGACGCTTCGGCTGACCCAATCGACTCTGCGAGGTAAAAAGAAGTTGGAAATAATGGACGGAGTTGTAAATTGATCGCGTATTCTGAAATGATGACGCTTTGAAAAAGTGAAGTCGATCAGTCTGAGAGTTGTCCACGAGAGACTCGTATCCGTATAGTCGTGGGGATTCTCGCGATCACTAGGCATTCCTCACGGAAAGAATGGATTTTGCCGACAATCGGTTTCTCTTTACCGTACTGTACCTTGTGTTTTCTCGTCGTTCGAATTAAGTGTCCTCTCGGAGATATGAACAGACGAAAGGAGAAAAGAATTCAGTTTCGGCCGATCGTCATTTTTTTTCTCTTTACAAAAAAAAGCCTAATAGCTATATAATTAACAATTGAAGTGCACAAACATTGATTTGAGCACTCAATAACAATAAGTAAAGTAGATTAACAATTAAATATATAAATGGAGTTTAAAATAGCGGACGAGGGAAAAATTTCACCTTATTTATTCTCTAGATTGTACCATAAATCTTCGTATTAGTAATACTTTGAAAAGAAGTAATTTGATGTTATTGTTATTGACAGGTGAATAACAAGTTACATCACAGTCTTTGAACAGTGTAAGTGCAAAACAGTCATGGAATCATCAGATAGAAAGAATGTATACCTTACAAAGGCTGGTGACAATTCCTTGAATTCTGGAATGAGAGAAACTATGATTGTTGGCCAGACTAATATGGTACCAGGTGTGTGTAACTGGAATAAGTATTATTATGTAGATTCAGTCTGTATCATAATCTATACATTCTTTTTGCAGAGTGTGGTGCAGAAGGTGTAATGAAACCCAACAATGTGTCCAATGTTTCCACTAATCAGACAAAGTGGACTAATGGTGGCTCTAAAAATTATATCACAATACCAGTGAAGAACGAGGTATGACAATACAATGTCTTAAAGTACTTGAGTTTGTAATGATCCAAACTTAAATTATCTAGGAAATGCAATTTAAACAAACAGAGAAAAGAGAATAAATTTGAATTAGATATGTGTTTAATTGATATTTATTATGAAGATTCTTATGATCTTTTTATCAATAATAGTTATAATTAATACTGATCTATTTTATAGGTTGTACATCTTGAAGATGGTAGTGCACATTGCAACAACAAGAAAATGTATTTTTATGATAGACACTACACTGGGCATGAGGAACCAGAGAGAACCACACGCAGAGGAACAAAGAGATACAGAGATAAGGATGCACCAAAACGGGCATTGTATGTTAAATTAAAAATAAATAATATTTAGACAGAAATATCTTTCAAAGAATTATGTTTCAAAGATGCGTTAAAAATATCAATTTTTGCTTTTTTATTTTGTTATGATTTTATAAATAGAGATTTGTACAAATGAAACAGAAGTTGTTGATACAAAAAAGTATTCATCTAAGTATTGAATTACTTACGATACTTACAGTAATTCGATCTGTTATAGATCTGCATTTTTCTACTTCTGCCAAGAACTACGTGGCAAGATGAGAGAATTACATCCCGAGATGGGAGTAGGTGACATTGCAAAAGAATTAGGAAAATTGTGGATGAGTACGGATTTACAGACAAAATCTAAATATATGGCTATTGCAGAAGAAGACAGAGCTCGATATGAAAGAGTATGTTTATATCAAAATATATGTATATATTGAGGACATTTAGGGAGATTTTAATATATTCTGCTGATTTGTAGTAATGTATGGTAATTGGTTATCTTGACATTTACAAGTTTAATGAAACGATTTTTATGTGTAGGAGATCATTGCGTACAACAAGAGAGTTAAAAATTATGATCCGGAAGAAGTTGGGACCGTATAAATTATAACATGGACCCACACACATGGAACGGACAAGGATGACAACTTTATTCTAATTCGAGTACTTGACAACTGCAGATAGACGGAGTTCAGACTTGCAACAGACAAGCGAGTTTTACTACTAACCTAGAATTATCGTTGTATATATTATGTATACTGTTGATATTGTCTGGAAAAGAAAGAAATTGTCTCTCAGAAATTCGGTTATATACTTACAATGATATAAAAAAAAAGTCAAATTCAAAAAAAGAAGAGTTCCATTTTGTAATGAATTTCTATATCATATACAAATACTATATTATATACATGACTAACGTGTGCATTATATAATATATATCATATGTATATAATATATATTATACTTACATATAGTATATAATATATACATGCGCATACATATATCAATCATGTGTAGTAAGCACAATAGAATTCGAATCTATTTCATCATGCTTATGATTATTTGAGCGTTCCTTATACTACTCATGTAATCTATTCATTTGATCGATCGAGCGTTCGAATAATCAGGATATTACTATACATTTTAAGAATAGAATAATAGTAATTCAAGTAATGGTAACTGCTATACTATTACAATGCATTAATATTAAGCAATGATAACGATAATGATAACGTTCATGAATAATGAAAAAAAAAAAAACGTACGTAATGCACCATGCATCTATATCGCATTGTAGAGTTACAGTAGATCGCTTCGCCGAGACATAAAAAATGGTGCGAAAGAAATTAATCAGAACAATAAAAGGCAAAGTATCTCGGCATTGAGATGGACTATAGCCGGTATTTATAGTCGCTTTTATTTCAAAACATCTTAAGTAACGCTAATACAATCCTCTAATTCATGACGCTCTTAATACAAATCTTAAATATAAGATCCGACTATGAGTACCGACCTTATGTGCAACATGTGACAAATTTATCGCAGATTGTTAAGGATAATCTCGCTACCTCGTAATAATTGATTTTATCGGAAATATTTTAATGATGCAGTGGGCAAGAAAAAGTATGTATTGCAAAATTGATTATTGGTTATTTAAAAATTGAACGTCGACGATACTTATTTAGATAAAAGGTATACAATACAAAGCATAGAATTACTAAATGCATTGTTAGGACAAAATTAAAGGATAGTTATATAGCAATATTTAACATTTTTAACATAGTTATTGCAGCACCATAATAATTACCATAATAATTAATAACGATAGAGAACTAAAAATTTTTGATATTTGTTGAATTTGAAGTTTGCTGAAAACAGACGATTTCTAATAAAATATCTTTGTAAAAAAAGATCATCTGAAAAAATATTCAAATCAAAATGTAAATGGATAAAAGCCTTTTTATCTCATCACTTTTTATGTATCTTGTTCACTAGATAATTTTTTATCTCAGGTAATTTTTTATTATTTGATACATCTCTGTACCTCGAGAGATATTTAACTATCTGTTTTTTTTCTGCTTATAATAAGTTATCGAATAAAATGTAATACACCCTGATGTTTCTTTTATGCTTCAAGAAGGATTCACGTTCATACATTTCTTTACCCACTGTAAATATTTTCTACACAAATTATTCCATCTGTATATTATAGGCAAAATAGAAAGAATGAAAATCATTATAAAGAGGCTCAATCGATCGAAAAAGCGAGTTAATAATGATGGTAGTGACTGCTAATTAGCATGTTGAAGATATAATAGAAAGTAAAAAAAAAGAACAAAAAAACCGAGGTCTTTATACATGTCTTTATCCAACGCTACACATATTCATACTTTAAGTATAGGTATATAAATATATCAGGGAATTATATCAAGCTCCCGAAACGGCGGAACGTATATTCTATGTATTTTCTTTTTTTTCAATAAAGGTAAAATAGATAAAAATGCATTAGTTTCATAGAAGTTTATTTTTGGTTGTAATAATAAACTGCGCACTCTTTATTTTTTTCCAAACTATATCGTCATTCGTCACCCACGATTTCTAAAACGAAATCGCGAGCACGCATTTTGTACATTTTTACATCGTGCCAGCTTCTACACATACGAGAAGTGCAATGAAATGCAAGTAAAATAACAACAAAATTTTGATGCTGACATATATATGTATATGTTAGGCTACACGGCATAACACATATATACATATGCATGATATATATTATATTTTTATATATTATAATATTATATATACATCTATTTTTATGTTATATATATATATATATATATATATATCTTTTCGAATGGACATTATAAAATACATATACATATTAACAAGTAAAAATTGATATTACACACTTATCACGTAACTAATATTACACGAAAAATTTTGCCACATAATGTTACGTCGTGTCACTGCTACTTAAACCGTTCTTTTGGTCTAACTTATTCGCATTGGTTTTAACTGTATATATGAAAAAGCTTAGAGCTTCCTTCTCCACGACAGGGATGGTCTTGAAATGCTTCGTGAGAGTCTGCAATAAGAATTTTATATATTATTTTTTAAAATTATCATGAAAAATGTTAAGAAGCAATTGTTTTTACTCATTGTTAGTTTCAAAGTTATTAAACAATAATAAAATATCGTACAGTGAAAATGTAATGGAAAAAGAATATAGGGTTTTTTCATTTTAGGCCTGTTTCTTGTAGCTGAATTCTCTTGCATCTTCTTTTTCTTTTTTTTTTCTCCAATATGAAAGAAAAGATGAACCTCTCTTCCCCACTGTGCAAGAAGTTTAGCTGAAAAGACGAATCTTATGTACCTAAAATTCAAACGGTATTCATCGAAATTGAATGCGAGACGAATTCGTAAGGTTAAAAATTTAGGTTTAGGTTTGGACGAAAAATTTATTGAACAGTACAAGGCGGAGCTTCTCCCTTCCAGTACCCTTCCCTTGCCCTTGAATTAGTAGACCTGTTCTTTGTCCTGAATTGCTCCATGTTGCTCCATGATCCATATTACGGATATCAGCGGGTGTATTTCAACGACACTTTCACGAACTTCAAATATACGAGTATATTATATAATAGGACTATATTTTCAGAAAATATGGCATATAAATATAATTTACAGAAACTCTAGTATGTAAACGTATTGCATTTCTTCAAAGAATTAATTCTTCTCATTTTCTATCATATTTTCACTGTATGATTTGTTGTTTTTTTATTTTTAGAAGTAATGACAAGTAAATTTATTTATTTATTTAACAGAGAATCATTGGGAAAAGATCTAGGATGAAAAACTGCCTTTGCATTTACACCTTATTTTTAACGATAAATGTGCGCATTTTTCAGATTTTATATGTAATACATATAACGTAAATTATATCCTAAAAGTATGATGCATTTGTCACTAAAAGTGAGGTGTGAATACAGACTTTCACTTATCTTTTTCCATTTTATCTATTTGTTTTTATATATCTTAAAACATCCTAAAATATATATTTTACATAATATGCTTTTTACAAATAATTTAATAAAATAATTATGACTATGTTTATATTTAATACGCTCTATATACGAATATATATTAATTTTAATACATAAATATACATAAGTATGTGCACATATTTAATTTATTATATTTATGACACGTGCTAGATAAAAAAATTAATGAATTATTCGAAATATCAAGTTTTAACAAACAAAAAAATAAAAAAAATTTAATTAATAAGAGACAAACGCAGTTAATTATGCATAATTATAAAAATATATTCTAGTTTAAATTACACAAACCTAAATAAAGATAGCAAAAATAATTTTACTATACTTACTTCCGCTAACAGAGTCTTGTTAAGATTTTGCCGGGTAGCAACCTTGTAGTGCCTTTTGTACCGCCTCAGAGTACCCATTTGCAGTTGGAAGAGATCGACTTCTGGGACGTCGTTGTCAGTTTCGCCCGAATCATCTTCGGAATCCTTGCGCCTTCGTTGCTGCTGCTGTTTGGTTCTTGCGCATTGGATCACTTCTTTGTGATAATCACAGATATATATGTGTCGTGCCTATACATAATACAATAAAGAAAGAATATAACAGAATAGCAATAATTATTGTAGACAAATAATACTTAGTTATAATATAATATATAGTTCGCACAGATATCTTTTGTATCGAAAGTTCTGTCATTTTCAAGTTTATAATATTTCATTAAATGTCAATTTGCCGCATACAAAAATTTTTAGATAAAATTTTCAAATAAAGTAATATTATATTAAAGAGAGTTATTTTACAAGGGTATACTTCGATTTATAAAAAAAAATTCAGAATCTCTAGTGTCAATTTTTTGACGTTTTTCGTGTTAAATGCGCTATTTTGTAGAAACAAGACACGAATTCAATTATATTAAAAATAATGAAGAAAAATACGAAACATATATAATAATCATATAAAAGTATTTAATTATTAAATATATAATTTTGCTAAGTGAAAAATAATCAACGTTTGTTTCTTTATTATTTGTTATTTAGTTTTAAAAGACATTAACGTTTATTTATAAATTGTATTACAACAAATATAATTTATTTATCAGTATTCTCCATTATATTTCTTTATCGATAAGAAATCTTATAAAAAATTCTCTGATAATTTCCGGATCTTCCAGGTATTTTTGTTTACAATTCCAAGCAAGATAAAAAGTATAATAAAAGATAGGAATTTTACAAGATTGTATCTATTATTTTCTACCATCAGAATTACAAAACTCATAGAATAGTACAGGAAATTTTTATCATAATATTAATACAATTATCTTTTCTGCTGAATTGTTCCTTTTCATATCGCCACAATTGTTTTAATAAAAATTCATAAGCACAAAGAAAGTACGTGAATATATATGCCACACTTATCGTTAACCGATTGAATATTTTGCATTATTAAGTAAAATATGACAAAAGAATATTTTCAGAAAGAGACAGAAATAAATAAAATTCACAAAAATTTCTAATTTTCAAGAGTAAAAAAAATGTTATATTCCTTGAAAACTTCAATTTTTTTAGTTTTTCAGAAAAAAAAATTTAGTTACAGCATATATTAGTCGCCAGTGAATTCTCAATTTACTGGAGGCAAAAGTCATAAAATTGAAGCGCGGCTCCTCATGGAATGGAGTATACGTTAAGAGAAGGGAGGGACAGTATTTTCTAATATTTTCTAATATAAAATTTGGTATAATGATATATCGATCAACACAGAGCGGACGAATCTTTTTTTTTTTTTCGACGGTACTTATGGAAAGTAAATGTTGGAGTTTCGCGTTTTCTCGACATTTTTAAGAGAGAATCGCGGCCGCGGCGCGTTCGCGGCAATTGCGGCGGACGTGCGCATTTGCCATGTTATGCTCACCATGTGATCCAAGTTGAGTTTCAGCCGCCGTTGAGTGACGGTCTTCTGTATACGCTTGCTGTAGGATGCGTTGCCGGCCGGACGCGAGCATCGCTTATTCTCGTCGAGGAGGCAGCAGATCAGATCCGCCGCGCCCCGCGAATCCTCCTCACCGGTGCTAAAGCCGTTCATTTTTTGCTCCGGCTTGGAAATAGTCCTCTCCGATCACGATCACGTTCAGCTGCGCGGTTTAGCGTCGTCTCCGACGACGGCGACGACGGTGATTCGCGCGGTCGATGCACTCGTGTCAAAAGTCTTGGATCGCGGTCTTGAAGCAGCCGGTGATCGCAGGACGATAACCACGATGACGATGACAGTGATAACACGGACGACAACGGCAACCGACGCACGCTAGGAAACGTCGCTCGCTCATAATTCTACTCCGCGCAAATCGAGCCGCGAGCTCCCCTATACTTCTCCCCTCGCCGACTCGTCGGTCCTTTCGGTCGGGATGCCGTATATACGCGGTGTATACGCTCCGTATGCGTTAAACTGCAGAGTCGAACCCACGCCAAGCCAAGCCGCGCCAAGCCGCGCCACGCTGTGTCGCGACGTGACGCGTCGTGACGCGCCGCGTCGCAACCGTAATAACGCCGGGCCGGCACCGTCAATCGCTCCTCGATTGCTGGATCGCAGCTGATCGCTTCGGACGCCGATCGTCGCCGCCGTTCAGCCGGAGGCACCGGGAGAACCGACGCCCGGGGCTCGCGAGCGTCGCCGCCGGGGAATCCGGGACGAGGTCTCTCGCGGCCGCCGCGCACCAGGAAGATTTCAGATCCACCGGCGATAGCTCTCTTCTTTCGTTTCGCTCTTCCAGTTCAACGATATTTCATACGGTATTGATATACCACGAACACGCAGCTATCAACACGACTGAAAATTCCAGGCCCGAGAAAACTCACTGTTGAACGATTCCGCAAAATGCCAATCAGAATATCGTCTACGACGACACAACCGTCAAGCCAAACGACACTCGCACTACGTGCGATGTATCTTCGACCATCTGTCTGCAGTCTGACTGCGACTAATTCGACTCAGCTAAAGTGGTGAGCGAGCCACCTGCGAAATCATCTACAAGCTTCTACAAAGACTGCTGTTTCTTAATGCGCATGCGCGACAATGCGCGGAAAAAAAAAAAAACAACCAGTCCGGCAAGTGCTGCCATTTTCTTCGGCTTGCGGCTTGGGCTGTCGAGAGGCATATACTAGTTAAATAAGTAGAACCGCGGACATGCATGAATATAGCGTGATTTTTAAGAAATGAGAATGAAAGGAACAAGATGGTTGTGTTCAGTAGAAAAAAAACAGCAACTTTGCAACTATTGTAAAATTCTTGAAAATGATTGGTTTATACATTTAGATCCAGTGAAGAAGGGCGAGCCAATCATATTAAAGAATTTCAAGACAGTTGCAAAGTTGCTTTTTCTGTAGTCATAGCTCATTGAGCGTTCACGCTTTCACAGTTTTCAAGAAATAATAAATGGTAATAAGTAAGTAACATAATTTTAACAGATTTAATATTTAAATAATATTAATAATTATCTATATAATAGATTAGTTGTACTACGTTACGAATATTATAATAAATATAAACATATTAATTTCTTTCTTACTCAGTGAGCGCTTAATGAAACGGTCGCTGCTTCTGAATGCACTCATTATTTGTTGTAAGATTACGTCTTAATATAATATGCCAAAATAAGCGTTGAGTATCAGCATGAAAAGGTACCTTAAAGGTAAAAGTACTTTCACATGAACTGACGTTTTCTGCGCATTTTATAAAACATTTTTATAAGACACTCAAATCGATTGTTTTAAGCAGGCTGTCCAAATTGATGCTTGATATTCGTCAAATTTTGATAAAATAGCCGAATCGATTAACTCGTGAAAATGTATCTTAACTTAACCGAACGAGGTTTTTTTTAAGAATTGCCAACTGCAAAACTGAAATTATCTTAATTTTCTAGCAACCGTACAGAACGATGTAATGGAGGCATTCCTTTTTTCTTTTTTTCGATAAAAATATTTAATTTGTCGTATCTTAGATACTTTTAATATTTAAAATTTAAAGTTAAACCACAGACCTCTGCATAACGCATAATGTTTAAAGCAAATTAAGAAAATTAACCAATTAGTTTTTTATTTTATGGAAAGGAGAAAATAAAGAGAAGAATAAATAAGGAAGCGCGAAATAATAAAGTCAAATTTTTCATCATGATAACAAAAGGAAATAAAATGCGTATGTACTTGTTAAATAAACATTTAGATAAAAGTTTATAATTAAATTTTAAAACTTGTAGTAAAAATTATATTTTATCATAAATTATTATTTTGATGTGTTTCTAAATTATTTTTACCACTTATATAAAATACTGATAAAAACAATAATTGTAGACAATTTTTATCAAATCTATTTTTCCTCCCTTCTTCATTATATTATCGGAAAGAAATTTTTATTTTGTGAACGAGTAAAAATATATCGGACAAGACAAATAGTTATGTTTTATGTTTTCGAGAGAGTGCAGAATTTCAATATTCATATAATTCCATCTCGAAACATAGTATTTTTGTTCTTAGACTATATATATATACAAACGAAACATAGGTATTTTTTTTTTCTAGACTATAAGCGAGAAAGAGCGGACGACGCAAGTTTTCCTCGTTGGTTTTTCCACGCAACGTTGGCGATCCTGCTTGTAACCGCCGTACGGGGTGCCGCGTCGTTTCATCGTCGACTGGCGCCACCTACGATAGAAACGATGCCTAACCTCAACGATCTCGCGTAGACGGTCGCGAGGATCAATGGTCGTACGAAAGAAACAACGGCGCACGGTGTCGGCCGTTCGATCGGTCGTATTTGGATAAGACCGTCGCGGCAGTGATAAGAGCGGTCGCATTCACCGGCGAAAGATTCGCTTTGCGCGCACGCATTTTCCCGCCCTTTCGGCCGGCCGACATTTTATTTGGTGGGGGGCAAAAAGAAACGCATCAAAACATAAAAGGTCGGCGCTGATTGGCTTACTTTTTGCGGCTTATCTGAAATAAGCCAATGGTAATGGGAGATTTTCCCCGTACACTGGCCGTATGCCGCACGAGTGGCGTGGGGTCGCGATATTCGAAGCTGAAGAATCCTTTTAGCCGTAGCGGATCCCGTTCCAGGTAAGAAAAATCCAAATATTTTTCGCATGTCGCGTTGACAGATTCGCGGGACGTCGCGTGGATGTTCCGCGCGTACATACGCACCGTCGGACCCGCCCAACGCGAGCGTGTCCGCTGGCCGTAAGTCGCTACCGTGCTGCGTTTCCTCGTACGTATACCTTTTATTTCCGTCATACCGTCAGCACACGGCAGCAAATGGCTGCCTGGACGGACGCGTCGTGCTTCGTACGCCACGCCGTTGTCGCGTCTCGTCGCGCGTTATCGAGATACCGTGCGACGAAAGGACCAACGTACGTGCAACGGCGAGACCTCGGCGACGCGGATCGACTCGTGGAGACGCTCGCAGACGCTCGCTGCTGCGACCGCCGCCACCGCCGCCGCTCACTCGCTCGCTCGATCGCTCGCTCCGCCGCCGCCGCCGCCGCGTCAACGACGTATTGACGTCAAGGCCTCCGCGCGCGTGCACATCTCGCGTTTTGCGTTGCATCGCGCTCTAAAGCCGTCCATCGACGACAAGTGGACCTCCCCGAGGAGGATAATGTGCTCGTAGTTGAAAAATCAATCGCACTCTCTGTCATCGTTCCCAGCGTACATGGCGTGGTATGCTCGGGTCGCGTTGCCACTCGTTTTCCCGCTTCGAAATTTCTCGAAACCTGTCAAGAATTAAGCGAGCGAGCGAGCGAGCGGAAAATCTTGAGACCTCGGAGAAGATCTTCCTATTTTTCTCTCTCTCTCTCTCTCTCTCTCTATCTCTCTCTTTTTCTGTCTGTCTCTTTCTCCCTCCTCCCGCGCTCGGAGTATTTTTCTCGGCGAGCTCGTTATTACCAGCGAAATAGATCGTGATGCTCGCGAGCGAACGACCGCGGAGTTGGCGGGAGCGGAGCGGAGGGCGAGATAGAATAACAGAAAGAGAGAGAGAGAGAGAGGAGGGACAGGGAAAAACGTTTTACACGTAGGCGGTTCTTCTACCGACGGTGCATCTCGCGCGCGCGAAGCGCAGCGTAATGTAAAGGTGCGTCCAGACTTGTACTGCACATCGTATCGCGTTGTGAGCGATGGCATGTCACTTCGTGTCTTAACATGCTCGTATAATTCGTCGCCGTGCTATATCGACGCTCCATTGAGTTTCACGAGAGGGACGAGGGAAGGGGAGGCAAGAGATTTACGATATTTTATTTGATCGAAACGTCGTCTTTCCTATCCGAACGCGAATGCAGTGAGGTTACGAGTTTGGACGCGGCTTTGGTGCGCGGTGGCGACGGCGAAGACGCCAAAAGTCTCAAGCATGTCGTCGATCGACTCGCTGCTCGACGTTTTTATCCGGTCCGCTAAACGTCGCTCAACACGGTCTCTCGTGGGTCCGAGATACTTCCCGTTGCATCCAACACGGCGCATCTAGGTCCGTCTGTTTGTTCTTCTCCTCTTTTTAGCTGCACTCTTGTATACCTCCTGTCAATTTAGAAAGTCCGTTTTTTTCATTCCTGTACTCTTTGAACTGGTGCGATAAGTTGACACGAAACAAACGTATATATACTTATTTCACTTCAGCTTATTGCAACGTGTGCCCCATGGTGCGATAATTAGTTCACAGAGACTGCAGGCAGAAAAAAAACTGACCTTTAGTACTGTTGACGCTGCTTGAAATCCTCAAAAATTCTTGCACTTGAAATGAAATATAATTATCGATTCCATATTTCTCTCCAAACGGTGAGGATTACTAGTGAAGATTAACAGTGAAAAAATTTACTGAGCATTAACCAATGAAATTGTAAATATTTTAGTATATTCACTTTTATATAATTTTTCACCTTATTTCAAGATACAGAATCGAGTGCATGCTCGCCACTGCTTGCACTTTTTGCATTCAACATTTTCGTTTTCTCTCTTCAACGTCGAATATCTTGTAACTCATTTTGGGTGCAAACATTTTTGGGAATTTCAAGCAACACGAAGATAAGGATACTGAATGCAAAAAGTGCAAGAAACGCGAACAATTTTTGTCTTCTCGATTACACGTTTGATTACGATTCTATACAATTGAATAACGTTCTTATTCGCGATCATTATATTGAAAAGGTATTAATGGAACGATTTCAATGCTCGTTTTGAATGCTCGATTGTTTATAATTAGATACGTGCGTGAATACGTGAATGACTGGTAGAACAAAAGATATAAAAGATAATTTATCCGATGATCAAAACGCGAAGACGTTCGACGTTCGTGAATTCCCAGTTTTGCAATTTAAATCGTTAGAACGGGAATTGTAATCAGAATCGATAATTAGTCTTGCAAATTCCTATGTATATTTTTTTTCACTTCGAGTGTAAAACGTGCAACGTCGTGTAGCTAAAAAGAGCAGGTACAAAAAAACACGCGATCGATGGATACCCGGATGAACGCGTGATGTTCGGGAACTAAAACCAGAGCGGCACAACGTGTAATTCCGCAACAAGTTCAGATTTCGATTTTTT